AAAAAAAAAAAAAAAAAAAAGTAAAAAAAAAAAAAAACATGGTTGTTAATAATAGTAAAAAAAGTATTTAACCCATATTCTATGAGAAAATAAAAATAACTTTTTATATCTAACATTATAATATGCATATATAAATAAAATGATATTTATTAAAAAATTTTATAAGTTTTTATTAATTTTTTTTTTCTTCTTTCTTATAAATTTTAAATGTATCAAACGTAGAATATCCATATTCAACATAAAAACCAAATAAACCAGATTTATAATAAGGTTCATTATTTATAAAAAATATTTTAGAATCATCTAAGAATATATTTATATTTCCTTTTTCCCCTTCATCATATATTAATATATGATGTCGTTGAAAAGAATTTATATTTTTAATATATTCACTTCTAATAACTGTTTCTTTGTTATTTTTATATTTTTTTAAAATTATTTCTTTATTTTTTGTTGAAATTGTTACAATATACATATTCTCCCTATTGTCATATCTAAAGAGCAATCCAGCTTCACTATTATATTCTAATTTTACATAAGCCGACAAATTTACTGAATTGCATGAACTATATCTATAAACTAATGAAGCTTTAGAAATAGAATTTTTATAATCACCTAAAACAGAAACTCTATTAATACCAAATTCATTATCAACTCTCCAATTATAAAGGGTATTATTACTTAACCATTCATTTAAATAAAATTCATTATTAGAATAGTTATTACATAACTCTTCTTTTTTTTGCTCTATATCGTCTTTATTTAAATTATCAAATGTTACGTTTTTTTCTTCATAATAAGAATTAGAATCAGGGACAGGATAGACATTATAAATTTCCTCATCTGCATGGTTATCATAATCTTTATTAGCATATGGTATTCTATACACACTTAAATCATCTCTAGAAATTTTCTTAGAGAATCGATATGAATCATTTAAAATAATTTTTGAAATATCTTTATCATCTGAGTTTAAAAGTTTATGTTTTAAATGTTTTTCAAAATATATGTTTCCACTTAATATATTTTTAAATGCCGATGTACCTATCTTTGTAAATAATCCTATGGTGTTTTTAGCATCTGAATTTGTTACATTTATTTCTATTATTTTTTTATAATTAAAAAATATATTTATTTTTCTATCAAGAAATTCACATGTTAAAGAATTAAATTCATTTTCGACCGCTTCTACACTCTTTGAAATTATTCTTTAAAAAAAATATATATTGCATATATATACATATTTACATTAAAATATAATAATATTAAGTATAAAAATATTAATATATATAATGTTTTATATAAGTTATGATTACACATATAAAAATATTCATATATTTATATATAGAATATAACTTATTAAAATTATTATATATGTATGTATTATTCGAGAGTAGACATATATATATCCTGTTTTTTAAAACTAAACTTACTTCTTATAGGAATCATTTACCACTTCATTTACAATAATTAATGATTGGTTATTTAAAAAAGATAATTCGATAAATCTATAATTTTGTGCATTTATAAAATTAAAAATAATTCCCGATGAAGACTGATTTATTTTAGACAAATTTGAGGGTTTTTCAAGCAAATCAACATTAATATAACCATCCATTAGTTTATGATGTTTTAGTAATAAAATAGTTGATGGTTTTTTCAAACTTATTGAATCAATTTCTTGGATAATTGAAATATAATTTTTATTTTTTTGAAATTTCCAATATGATTTTAGATTATTAAAATCTATTTTTAACCAATATTTTGATATGGGATAATTAAATTTTTCTATATATGGATCAAATTTTTTTATCTCCATAATATCGTATTCTAATTGATCAATTCTGTTTTCATATTCACTTAACATTTTTAATAATGATAATTTTGTTTGCTCTAATGAATTAGAAAATTTCATTAACTCATCCTTTTGTGCATTTTGTGTGTCTCTTACAATGTTTAATAAATCATTCAATTCTTTTAATTGAAAATCTACTTCATTTGGTAACTCTTCATTTTTTTTAAAATTATTTATCTATAAGTATAGATATACATAAAAAAATACTAATTATAATAATATACACAAGAAAAAATAAAAAGAATACAACATATATTAACTAGGACTCTAAACAAAATTACATGTACCAAAAAATTATTTCTAATTTGATTATAATTAGAAATATATTAATTAAAAGAAATTATAAAAAAAAAAAAAGAAAAAAAGTTTCTTATACATATAATTTTAGGTATCTCCACCTGTGAATCAAGTTCATCCTTGTAATTTTTTAAGTCATTTGCAAAAAAATTTCCTTTATTTATTGATTTAAAATTTTCATTACTATCTCTTAAAGCTAATATATGTGGATTAAACCCAAGTGAAAAAAAAACTAAAATAAACAAAACAAAAAAATATTTCATTTTTTATAAAAAAAAAAAATAAACAAAAATTTCTAAATAATGTTACAAACAAAAGATATAATTTAATACTTACAACATAGATGTATGTGCATATAGATATTTAAGCGTATGTATTTTGATATAGTGATTTATATTAATGATTAAAACAAATAAATAAAATAAAATATTAGCGAAAAATATAATACAAACACATAAGCCATGTATAAAATTATACTTAAAAAATTATGTTACTTATTCCTTTTTTACTAAATTGTAGTAAACATATTTCAACATTTTATTTATATGTATATACACATTTTCCCTTTTCAAAAAAAAAAAAAAAAAAGAATCATATTTCACAAGTACTAAAAATTATAAATAAATTCTATAATAGATTTAGAGCTTATAAATGGAATAAAGAAAATATAAATATTTATAATTTTAAAAAGGTAAATATAGTATCATCTTAATTTACATAAATAATTTAGTAAAAAATGTAATTATAATAACAATGAAACGAAAAGTATATATATATATATATATACGCAGAATATAATTACATTACCATATCTAGTATAATATCTTTTTTTACTAAGTTAAATTTTCCAGAGAATTCATAATTCACACATATTTAAGATGAATATCATATTTTTACATAAAAATGATATAGGATTTGGTTATTTTAGTTATTATTCTAAATATTATATAAAAATAAAATATACGTACGGTTTTATTTTATTTTTTTTTATTATTTATTTTTTTTTTTTTTAAAATATACTTAAAAAGAAAAATACAAAAAATATACATAAAAATTTATAAAATCACCTTAAAAAAAATCTTTTTTTTTTTTTTTTTTTTTGAATTATACATATTAAATGAAAAGCAAACATAAAAAAAAAAGAAAAAAAAATAGAAAAAAAAAAGTACATATAATTTAAAAAAAAAAAAAAAAAAAGAAAGAACTTTAAATAATTCCAAACATATTTATATTAACTACTTGTCTCTTCATCACAATTGCTACTAATAAAATCGTAATACTCGCCTTCATTATCTAAAGATCTTTGCAAGGAAGACAAATTAGATGTTGCATCGAATTTTCTAGTAAAATCTTTTATTAATTTGTTGGATGCATTTTTCCATATTTTAAAAAGTTCTTTAAATTTTACTTGAAGATTTTCTATTCCTTGATCAAAATCAGTACCAAGTGGTTTATCTGTTAAAGTTACTTTTGTTAATTCATCAGTAACTTTCTCACCCCATCTAATTAAATTTTTTTTCATTTTAATTGATTGTGCTTTTGTTACACCTATATTTAATTCATTAGGGTGAATACCTCTTTGTAGAGATCTTTCAATATAATCTTCATAATTTTTTAATATTCTTACAATTAAATCTGTTGTAGAAACTCCTTCTGTTCTTTGTGTAGCTCTAAATTTTCCTGCCTTTTTTAACCAAGCATATACGTCATCATTTGTATCTTCATTCATATTTAACTTGGTTTTTTTTTTTTTTTTTTTTTTTTTTTGATTATTAGCATATGGTATATCATCATGAGCAACATAATCAATTTTATGTTTTTCTAAAAACTCAGGTGTAATTACCCATGGGCATGGTGAAATTATTTCATCTACCCAACGAATATGTTTTAACGTTTCAGTTCTCTCCTCAAGTGATTGTACAATTTGACCTTTAAATATTTTCGTTTCATTATCACTTGAAACACCTACAATTAAAGTGGTATTTTCAAACATTTTCTTTGCTTGTTCCAATTGTTTCATATGTCCTAAATGTAACATATCATATACACCATCAGCATAAATTCTAACTTTTTTTCTTTTATCAAAATTTTCCTTTTTTTCTTTAATTTGATTATCCTTTGATTTTGTAATTTCTTTTGGTTCAATAAAATTCCTTTCATATTCTTCAGTTTTGACATTTTGAAAATTGGGTTCATGTAAATTATTAATTAATATATTTTCTTCTAATGGTTCATCTTTTTTTGTATCTCCACTATTACTATGTTTCCTATTTAAAATAATATGATTATATTTATTATCCATATAAACATCCACACAACTTTTATAATCGTCTTTGTCATTATTATTGTTAATACTACTTTCTTTATTATTATTTTTATTTTCAACATTATTTTTTCTACTATCTAAAATATGATCTTTTTCATCATTTGTATCTTGATATGTAGTTTTAAGGTACTCTTTATAATTTACTTTTTTGCTTAATTTACTTGTGTTAAGTAATTTTTCACTCATTTTATCATCTGTACTGTTGTATTCAACCTCATTTTTTATATCCAATGGATCAGTGAATTCTAACATTTCATCTGATATTAGTTTCAATTGGTTTCCTTTTTTTCTCTGTTTATCTTTAAGACATGCTTCTAATTCAAAACATGTTTCATAGTTATCAATTTCTGTATTATATGAATCATTAGCAATTTTACTTATTACATTATAGACATTATTAACCCTATGATAATCTTCATCTGCCGAATAATAATATTCATCAAGACTGTTAAAGGAATTACTAAAACATTTCTTTTTTTTTGAATCTTCTTTCATTATTCTTGACAAATAATTAGAATCAGATAAATACATACTTGTAATACTATCCTTTTTGCTTTTTTTTCTAATCATAATAAACATAGGATCGAAAGATTTTGCAAAATCTTTTAAAAGCTTTTTTGAGTGATACCTCCACAATTTAAATAATCCATGCACTTTATCTCTTATTATATCTATTCCTTGATCAAAATCAGTACCCAATGGTTTATCTGTTAAAGTTACTTTTGTTAATTCATCAGTAACTTTCTCTCCCCATCTAATTAAATTTTTTTTCATTTTAATTGATTGTGCTTTTGTCACACCTATATTTAATTCATTAGGGTGAATACCTCTTTGTAGAGATCTTTCAATATAATCTTCATAATTTTTTAATATTCTTACAATTAAATCTGTTGTAGAAACTCCTTCTGTTCTTTGTGTAGCTCTAAATTTTCCTGCCTTTTTTAACCAAGCATATACGTCATCATTTGTATCTTCATTGACATTTAACTTGGTTTTTTTTTTTTTTTTTTTTTTTTTTTTTTTTTTTGTGTTTTGTTTTGATTATTAGTGTATGGTATATCATCATGCGCAACATAATCAATTTTATGTTCTTCCATGAATTCAGGTGTAATTACCCATGGGCATGGTGAAATTATTTCATCTACCCAACGAATATGTTTTAACGTTTCAGTTCTCTCCTCTAATGATTGTACTATTTGACCTTTAAATTTTTTTGTTTCATAATCGCTTGACACACCTACAATTAAGGTAACACTTTTTTCCATATGTTTTGCCTGTTGTAATTGTTTCATATGGCCTAAATGCAAAAGGTCATAAACACCTAAATGAAAAAAAAAAAAAAATATATTTTTTTAAAAAAAATTGCCATTCTACTATAGAACTTGTTATATATCTTTTTTTTTTTTTTTTTTTTACCATCTGCATATATTCTTATGGTTTCTTTATTGACATTTTCATTATTTAAATTTCCATTGCTAAAAAATTTAGATTCTTGGTTCTAAAATTAAAATATTTATGGATATAAAATGAAAATTTATCTTTAAATATATTTATAATTATAAGTATTTAGGAATGATAAATTTAATAAAAAAAAAAAAAAAAAAATAATAAATCTACTAAATCATATATATGTTTTATTAAAATATTTATATATTTACAAGTAATGAGAATATTTTTAAATATACTTGCACATTTTATTTTTTATTTTTTTTTTTTTTTTGATAAATACCCTTATATTTTTGTAAATGAAAATATTTGCAAATAATATTCTTAAAATTTTTACTTTTATAATAAAATTTATATAAACTTATCAAAAAATGTTTATGCAATAAGCAAAAGTTAAAAAGGGAATATTCTCAAGTTCATGAATATTTTTTTTTAATTTTTACCTCCAAGTTTTGAACCGAATGTACCTTAACTACCATTTTATATTAACTCATGATTTTATTAAAAATTTTAACTTTTAATATAAAATATAATGACATATATATATTATATATATATATATTATTTTCTAATATTTGCATTTAATGTATTGGTTAGTAGTTATATAAATTAAAAAAAAAAAAATACACGCATTTTCATTATGTATTTAAACACACAAAAAATTTACAAAAATTGTATATATTAATATATAAAAAAATATAAAGTGCATATTAAATTTGAAACAAATAAATTCAAGATTTATAATAAAAAAAAAAAAAAATTCTATGCATATATATATTTTAAATTTATTATATTACTAGAGTGAATGCAAAATTTTTGCGTAAAAATGAAAATAATGTATATTTTAAATAATATGTAGAACAAATATGCAAAAAATATTATTTGTTTTTGTAGTTTTATGTATGCAACACTATAAATTTTAATTTCCTTAAAGAAAAAAGCAAATTTGTCTCATTAAAAAATTATTTTATTGATTTATTAAAATAAAGAATTATATAATTTAAATTTTTAATGGTATTTAGAAAAAAAGGAAAAAAAAATTTATAAAAAGGAATCGAATGCTCTTTTTCGGAAGAAAGTAAATAAAAATAACAGTAAAAAATTTTTCCTAAAAAACTTTTTATAAATAAGACTAAAAAAACTTTAAAATAAAAGAGAGTTACTTTACTAATATAAAATTACTTATCAAGAAAAAAAAAAAAAAAAAAAGTGAATTTCTAGGTAAAAATCTACAGTGAAAATATTTTTATTTTTTTATAAAATTTGATGTTTTTTTATGAATATTTATATTCTTATAATTTTTTATAAATATAAAATAAATATTAAATTATATTAAAAAATTAACAAAGTAAAAATAAAAATGTAGTTAATTATAAATGAAAATAACAAACTATTTTTATTTTAAAAATTATGAAATATATATATTTATCTCTTAATTTTATTAAAAAAAAATATATATTTTTAAATTTTACAAAGGTTAAATTCTCAAACATAGCGTATTCAAAATAATTTTAATAGTGCAGAAAAAAAAAATGTCGAATATATCAATCACCAATTTAATTTATCTTATAAAATATATATATATATATATTATATATATATATATATATTTGAAATAGTTTTAAAAAAATTTGTATCATATTAAAATAGGAAAACATTGCATTTTTTAAAAGTATTTAAAAAATTATAAATTATAAAAATATATGAAATTTTAATTATATTTTGATGTCAAATGTTACTGTAGAATGTAACATATATCTTTTAAAAAAACAATGATTAAATTTTAAATCTACGTAATAAATAAGCTATATTTATATTCTAAATTATATATATCAAAATCTTTTTTTTTTTTTAAATGTACCTGAATGTAAAAAAAAAAAAAAAAAAAAAAAAATAATAATAAAATAACTTAGTAATAAAATGTAACTTCATTATTCTTACATATTAAATTATAAAATATAAAAATAAAATAAATGAAATTTTTAAAAGTCCTAAAAAACTAAAAAATATATTATTATTTAATCTTTTCTTTTTTTTTTTTATATATATTTTTCTTTTTCTTTTACTTTATTTTTTTTTTTTTTTTTTTTTTTTTGCACACACTAATAAAAATATACTTCTTGTTTTTATTAAAATTATAATATGTGTTGCTAAAAAAAGACTGTCATTAATGTAAATAGTTAGAAGGATGGTCAATGGTACGTAAAGACTCAATTGTTTGTGCACTTGAATCAGAATCTTCTTTAGAATACTGCTTATATTTTGACTGTACTTTATTACCAGACTCTTCATCTTCGTCTTCACTTGATTTTGAAGACTCTTTTCTTCTTGAATTTCTAAAATTTTTATTTAAGTTATAATTTGGTGAATCATTGGAATGATCTTTTTTTTTTAAATTTACGTATGATTTCCATATGTTATATGCAGCTAATTTTTGTTCTTCTTTGGGGCATAAGTTACATACTATCGGCCATTTACTTGAGCATTTAATTATACTAATTACTTTATTATATGTCATATTTGGTTTAAGTTCAGAAATTTTCGTTAAAAATTTAGCTACTTTATTAATATGTTTCACTTCCTTATTTTTTTTTTCTTTTAATTTTTTGAGTATAGAAAGATATATAAAATTCATATTGACATGTGGAATTTTATATTTACTTTGTACTTTTGAAAAATATTGTAAAAAATCATCAAAAGTAGTATTTTCATCTACATCAATTTCCATTTCTTTATAAGCTTTCTTTATGTATGCTTTATGTCTTAAATATTGTTCCTGTAAAGATTCAATAAATTCTTCAAATAGTACTTTCGGTGATGATCCTTGTTGTCCTAATAAATCTGTGTAACGAGAATCTTTATATATTTTAGAGACAAAATATATCCATTGTGTTTTAATATTTAAGATATTTTTTTCGTAATATTCATTTAATAATTCAATAAAGGCGTCTCTTTTTTTTCTCAAAATTCTATATACTTTCTTTTTAAGTTCCATTTTTTCCTGATTATGATATTTTTCAAAAAAGCTTTCCCATGCAGCTAAAGCATCTATTTTGTGTAAAGAGTTAAAATCTTCATCATCTTTAAAATAAACTTTAATTTCTTTCCATTTCAATGGATTTTTCTGTTCTGCATATGCTTGAAATTTTTCTTTTAAAATTTCAGCTGTTTTTTTTCTTTTTTTTCTTCGTATTTCTTTAAATTTATGCTTGTAATCATCAATAAAATCTTGAAATATTTCATCTCTTTCTTTTTCTGTTATCCAATTCCACCATTCTTCATTATAAAATTCGGATGCAAATTCTATATAAGTTGTTCGCTCATTTAATTTATCCCAATTTAATAATGTTTGAAAAATTATTTCTCTTGATTTCTGTCTTTTTCTTCTTTCATTTTCGTTAGCTCTTTTTACTGCATGACTAATATATTCAGAAAACAGTTGTCTTTTTTCTCCTTTCGTCAGAATAACCAAACTTAACCATCGGCTATCACTTTCTAAAATTTTTAAAGTATTTTCCCATGTCATTTTTGGATTTATATTTTTTTCTTCAAATAAAATTTTCAAATGTTCCCTTGCCTCATTTTTATCCTCAAATTTTTCCCATATCACATTATCCCCGTCATTACTAATCTTTTTATTTTTTTCATCAATATTATTATATATGTTTTTATTTATTTCATTTTTAAAATCTTCTTCTTTTATATAATTGATATTATTACTAGAATTATTATTTTCCTTAATATTGCATTCTTCATTATTTTTATTTATATCTTCAGAAGTTTTATTATTTTCATTTACATTATAATTTTTTAAAACTTCATTTTCTTTATTTTTCTTATTTTCTTCTTTTTCATCTTTATTATTATCTTCATTCCTAGTAGAAGCGCATTCTAATTTTATTTTTTTAATTTCTTCTGGTTCATCCCATACACTAATGTTTTTTTCTTCATGATGCCAGTACTTTCTTCCATCACTACATGAATATTCTTTCCATTTTGTTTTTTCAGAAATTTTTAATTCTTCTGGAGTCTTTAATTCATCTGGTTTTTCCCACTTCGAGCATTTTGTTATAGAATTGTAATAAAATTTTCTTCCATTTTTTGCTACCATTTCACACCATCCATGATTTTCTATATTGTAATTATTCATATAATTTAAGTTCATGTTATTTGGCAAATTCATTAAATTACTGTTCATGATTTTTTGGTTTTTATTTAATAACATATCTTTATTGTACATTTTCATCACATTATTATTCATATGTAATGCCACATCGTTTAAATTATCTATATTATTATTTGTAGATAGTGGTATATTTATATTATTGGGTTGAGTATACATTAATGGATTGTAATTATCATATGTCGGATTCATATGCATAATATTTTTATTATAATAATCACATGTATTAACATTTGGTAGTATTCCAGGAATATATGGTAAAGGTATTTGGCTAATTGAATTATTCATAAAATGAGTATTATTCATATTTTGATTACTTATATTATGATTGGGTATACTAGGAATATTTGATACATTAGGTATATTTGGAATATTTGATACATTAGGTATATTGGGAATATTTGGTAAGTTTGGTATATTTGGTAAATTTGGAATATTTGGCAAATTTGGTATATTTGGTAAATTCGGCAAGGTGGGTATATTTGGCATAATTGGGGAATTAGGTAAATTTGAAGAACCAGATATATTTGGCATATTAACTGTGTTAGGTATATTAGGTGAGTTGGACATGTTAGGCATATTTGGAATCATAATATTTTTACCATAATTAATATTGTTATTTTTATTACCTGGATTTTGCATATTTCCTCTTTTTTTTTTTTTTTTTTTAAATATTATCAATTTTCTCTTCAATGAGATATATAAATATATATGTTTATTTATGCATATTTTCCAAATTCAAATTTTATTTTTATTTGTTTTTATGAAAAATTAAAGTTCTATAATTTTAAAAATTAAAAATGGTCTTTTATAGAGAAATATAAAATAACAGTCAAATTTTCAAAACAATATCTAATATCTATTGTTTTTTAAACTAATTATTCTTCATGTTAGTTTCCTTTTTTATATTTTGTTCTTTTTTCTTTTTTTATCTTTTTTTTTTTTTTTTTTTTTATTTTNATTTAAAAATATATATAAGTTATTTATATTTTTTATTATTTAAAAATATATTATATATATTTTACTCTTTTTTTTTTTTAATTACATTTTTTAAGATTCATAAAAATCATAATTCATTTTTTTTTTTTTTTTCTTTTTTTATCTTTTTTTTTTTTTTTTTTTTTATTTTAATTTAAAAATATATATAAGTTATTTTAATTTTGTAAGTCAATAAAAAAACATGTTATATATTAACATACACTGTATAAAATATTTATCAATATTTTAAACTAAAAAAAATTAAAATAAAAAAAAATTAATCATATTTTTTATTATTTAAAAATATATTATATATATTTTACTCTTTTTTTTTTTTAATTACATTTTTTAAGATTCATAAAAATCATAATTCATTTTTTTTTTTTTTTTTTTTATTTTTCTTTATATATATATATATATATGTATATTTATTGAAGGTTACAATTCTCTTATGCTTCATTCAAAAATGAATCCTCAAATTTAAAAAATAAAATTGTAATTTTTTTTTTTAAACTATAGATAATAAATGTTAAAAATTTATATTTTATTTAAAATATTTATTAAAGCATTTTTATTAAATTTAATATTACTCTATTAAAAAATAATATATAAAGCACATAGAACTATGACAAAAATTATAAGTTTGTTTTATCATTATTTTCTACTTTATTTTAGTTAATTTTATATTTTTAAATACCTACATCTTAATTTCTTTATTTTAAAGTTGGAATTTTTAATTAATTTATTCTTTAAAGATAACAATACAATTACAAAAATATATTTTATCTTTATTTTTATGAGGTATTAAAAATATATTATAGTCACAAATAAAAAATATAATAGAAATAATTTATATTATTTATAAAGTATAATTGTGTGCTTTTAAAAAAATGTGACAAATAATTAATAAATAATAAAAAATAAGTAAAAATAAAATTCTGTGTACTATCATCATTTATATAGATTTATGAAATAATATAACCTTTTACTTGAGTAATATAATAGTATTTTTTTTTTTTTTTTCTTTTAATTTCCTATAAATTTTAGGAAAAGGAAAATAACTATTAAATGAAAATGTTAGATTTGTAAGTAAAAAACCGACCGATTGCATATATTTTTTTTATATTTTATTATAAAATTGTTATTTATTTTTGATAAAGCAGTTTTATATTTCACCTACTTATTGGGTAGCTGTAAAATTTCTTTTTTTTTTTTTTTTTAAAACATATAAATAAATAATTTTTTTATTTTTTTTTTTTATATTACAAAATGATAGTTATTCTATAAGTAAAAATATATAATTAAAATTTAAAAATTATGAAAATTAAAAAGCATATTAAGAATCTCCTTAAATTATTAAAGTATGGTTATTTTAATTTTTACACTTTACTATATATTCTAATTAGTATTTAAAAATGAGTCTTTTTTCTTCTCAAAAGTATTTTAAGCAAAGATTTATTTTTTAATGTATTCCTTTGATATTACTTAAAAATATGATTATTCAAACAAAAGAAAAATATATATAAAAAAAGAAAGTATTAATGAAAAATTAATGACAAATTATTATACTTATATTGTTTAAAAATGAAATAATCATTACATCTTTTTTAAAATATGTATAAAAAAAAAAAAAATTTTTTTTTTGAAGATTAAAAATAATGTGGGCTTTTGTATATAATATCTCTCTGTAAATATTTAAAAATAAATTTTTTTTTTTTTGTTTTTTTTAAATTATTTATTTTTTATGAAAATATTAAAATAAATAATATAAAACAACTTTTTTTTGTTTTTGGTAATTATTATATTTTCTTTATATTCTTAGTACATTTCTTATTTTTTATGAGTTCTAATTGTCTACAAGCTGCTTTTTGAAGTTGCATTAAAAGAGAAGGGTTTTTTGATTTAATTAATGTGCTTATATCCTAAATAATTAGATGAAAGTATAGAAGAAAGATAAAAGTAAAAATAATAATAATTTATAATTTTGATAACATATATGTTATTTATATTATTTTACTTGTAGCCTTTTATACATAATAGTATTTTTTGACTTAATCAAGTTATATCTAAAAGTAATGCTTTCTTTTATATTTTCTTCAGAAGATTGATTAAAATCACAAACCAGTAATTCAATAAACTTGTATTCCATATTCTTATAAAAGTAATAAAAAAAAGAAGATAAAATACACCTAAAAATTATTTTATATAATAATTATTTAGTTTTACTTTTATGAAATCTAATCGAGCTTTTCTATTCTGTTTTATGGTAAAAATAGCTAAAAAACTAAAAGAAAAAGAAAAAATGAGAATATGTATAATGTGTACTTTTAAGTAATTATAAAAATAAAAAGTAATATAATTAAGCGTTTTTATCATTTTTATACAACCTTTGTGGCTCTTTTATACATGAATTAAACATTTTTATTAAAACTTGCAAATATTCAGAAAAATTAATCATTAATTTTTGATTATTTTGCATTGTTGCAAATGATATTTCATCTATACTAAGAAAAAATTAATACAACAATAACATTATACATATACATATATATATACATATTATAAGACACATTTTTTATTATTTGTTACGTTTGAGTGAAATGAAAAAATAAATCTGTTTCATTAGTTAATTCTATTTTCACACTTTGGGCATTTAGTTCATCACCCTACAAATATATGTATTAATCTTTTTGTTTAAACATTTTGTAAAAAAGATAAAATAAATTTAAAAAAAAAACTATTTTTTCTTTTTTTATATAAAATATTAAGATATAGAAAATGAAGATTCTTCTTTGCAAAATTAATAAAAAATTAAAAAAAAAAAAAATTCTTACTAAAACCAAAATCTTAACAGTTATTATTTCTAGAGAACCCATTTCTTGTGGTCCATTTTCTAATTCTTGAATTCTTATCTCAAATGGAACTTCTTTATGGTAACATAATGTATATCCACCATCTAAACAAAATAGTTTGTAGAATTATCTTCACATATATATATAAAAAATTAAAATATATGATCAATTATTTATCTTTTTAATTCAATTTTTTTTTTTTTTTAATGTAACTTAAAGAGGGATCTAATTCTTGGAAAGATGAAAAATCAAATTGGCATAAAAAGTTATTTAAATCATATTTGTTCATTTTTTTTTTTTTTTTTTTTCTTTATTTCATAAAAAATTAGGGATATAAAAAATCTTATTCAGAATAAACGTAAAGATAAATAGTCTGTTAAATATTAAAAGGAAAAGACATATATATATTATTAGGTAAATATTATTTTCACAATGCAAATCTTTTTAAAAATATTTTTTTTTTTTTATTAATGAAATTAAATAATATTTATAATTATAGATATTTTTTTATATATTTTTATTTTTTTTCATTTATAAAAAAATTTTTAAAAAAAGTATGTGTGCAAAAGATTTTTTTAGAATAAAACCTTTTTTTTTTAATGCATTAAAAGAAAAAATATAATTACTATACATTTAAAAAAATATATTTTATTTAAATGATATTTTTCACATTTTTCGATATTATAACTCTATTTAATGAACTAACAAATTAGATATAAGAATTAATAAAAATGTTGTGAAATATTTTTAAAAAAGGAAATTCAGGAGAAAACAAATTAATATATGCAGATATTGCATTGTATTTCCGTTACATAAAAAAAAAAAAAAAAAAAAAAAATATCTAGTTGTAAATTCTTTCTCAAGTATATTATTTTATTAAGTAAAAAAAATAATTAAGTTTGATATTTTTATTAATATAAACATTAATTATTTATTTTATTTTTTACTCTTTATTTTCTATAATAAGAATATACAAATATATAAATTATGTGTAATTACACATATTCATAAATATTTGTTAATCTAAAAAATATATATATATATATACTAATGTATATATTAAAACTAATAAAAAAAAATTATAATTAAAATAATTTCATATTTTACAAAAAAAAATTAGTAAAAATGAATTTTTCTTTTTCATTTTTATGTCCAAATTAAAAATAATTATTATACAATATACATTATTATTAAAATATATAATAATTTATTTATATTTTTCATCTTTTTTTCTGAATATTTTTTTAAAAATGAAACATTTTATTTTTGTATTTTTTTTTTTGTTTTATCTTGTTTATGCACAAATTCCTTACGATATTCTAAGCATTTATAAGGTTTATTTTTAACTTTGATTTAATTATATTTATAGAATAATTTGATCATTCTTATATATGTTTTAGCATATTTTATCTTTTTAATTATTTTATTTTTAAAATTTTCATTTTAATTCAGCCATTAAATTCACAATCTGTCAAAGTACTTCCAGGAGACAAGGTTTCAATAGGTTTTTTTTTTTTTTTTTAAAACAAATATAGGAAACATTAAAAACAATTTTAAATTCTGTTATTTTTTTTTTTCTATACAATTTCTGTCATTATTATTTTTTTTTATAAGATTATAAATTAAAGGATATTAAAGATGACATTGGAAAAGAATATTCAGAAAATTCTTTAAAAGTATTTACTTATAAGAAAAAGTTAAACATATATTTTAAAATTAATTAAAAAATTACCTTTTCTTATATTCAGAAATTAGCAGAAAAATACTATAAGGATGTAGATTCAACTGATCAAAATATTTTAGAAGAATTAGATCAAGTAATTTTTATTAATAAATATTTAAAAAAAAAAAAAAAAAAATTATATGGTAAAATAGAGGAATATAAAATTATTTTTCCATATAAATTATAATACTTCTTTTCTTATTTAAAATATATTAGAAAAAGTATAAAAATGTAAATTTTTCTTTAGCTTAAAGATTTGTTAGGAGAAAAATCCTTATTTTTGACTATATTTTAAAAAAGAAAAAATATGCAATTCCTAATAATTGTATCTTTTTCTAATTTTTTATAATTTATTATTTTTTTTTTTTTTTTTTTTTTTTTTTTTTTTTTTTTCTAATTATAAATATTTTTTTTAATAAAAAATTAAATTTTTGGTTAAAAAATGAAAAAAAAATATGTAGGTTCGAATAAAGTTACAAAAAAAAAAAAAAAAAATAGATATATTATTCAAAATACAAGGATATAAATAAAGTATAAAAATATAAAAATATAAAAATTTAAAATATATATTAAATTAACAAAAAATATTTGTATCTAAGATATTTAATGGACAAAATCATTAATTGAAGGAAATTAAAAATACAAAATAATCAAATAAAAGTATTATAGAAAAATTCCGAATATATATAACAATCTATATATATATATATAATTGTAGATATTTCATATATACTATAAATTTGTAACAAATGACATTTAATAAAAAAGAAAAAATCATAAACTAATTTTATTTAAAACTGTTATTTTATTAAACAAACAATTTTTTTTTAATAGCAATTACTAATAATATATTCTTTTATTTTCATAATTCACATCAGTTTTATTTAAAAATACATTAGAATTTAATAACCAATCTAACCCTTCTTTTAGACCTTCTCCAGATAAAGTACTACAAGAAATAAATTTACATCTAAATAATAATTCTTTTGGTAATGAAAAATAGTTTATTATTTCTTCAGATTTTAGACATCCATTGGAATCTTGCTTATTTAAAAAAATTAAAAATTTACATCTTCTATATATAAACCTAAAATCATATATAATTCTAATAAAATCATCTCTTGCTTCTCTTAAAGATCCTTTTTGTGAACTATCAACAATATATATTAAGTCATTAGATATTTCTGAATATTCTTTAATTAAATTAAATGAACAATCACTTCCTACTTCAAAAAATTTTACTTTAAATTTTTTTTCCTCAAAATTATCTTTATCAGTTTTTAGTGTTATAGTAAAACATTCTTCATTTATCAAAAATGTTCTAACCTACATTTTATAAAAGAAAATGAAAATATACATATATATTAATTATATACATATAATATTTTTTATATTAATTATATACATATAATATTTTTTATATTAATTCAATAATTAGTTATTTTTAATTATAATATTTTCAAGAAAATATAAGTTATATTTTATGTTCTGTTTTTCTATCTTTCTACATTTTTTTTTCCTTTTTTGTATTAAATTTTAAAACATAATTTTTTTTTAAATAATTTATATTTACAGTGGTTATTAGATATCCCAATTTGAAAAAATATATAATAGATGTTTTTCCTGAAGATGGTAAGCCAAATATTATAAGATTTTTTCTTGTTGGTTTTAAACTAAAAAAACGGAGAAACATAAAAAATACAAACTGAAAACATTTCTTTAAAACTTCAAAAATATTCATTTCTTTTAATTTATTCAAAAAAGAAATATTTTATTTTACTTTTATTTTTTTATTAACTAAGCATTTTCTAGTTAAAAAGTTTAATTTTTATTATGTATTTTTTATAAATTATTTTTGATAAAAATAACAAATACAGAAAAATAAAAAATTTAAGATATAGCTAATGCAAATTATTTTAAACTATTATAAAAAAAAAAAAAAAATAAAATAAAAAAAAAAAAAGCATAAAATATAAATACAAAGTAACTAATATTTTATTAAAATTACACGAAAACATATTTTATTTTGATATTTTTCTCTTTTTTAATTAATTGAAGAATAAAAGAAATTTTAAAAAATTAAAAACAAAAACAAAATAAAATGTGAACTTTTTTATTTAAAATAAATAGTTTACAATTTCTTTTAAAATTTTTTTTTTTTTATCAATAGTTAATTATTTTCTTATTTCCGATTTTATTTCACAATTTACTAAAAAAAAAAAAAAGGTAGTGTGGTGAAATAATAATTCATATTCTATACATTTTTTTATATATAATAATAGTAAATATCAATACTTAATTTTAATAGAAATTAATTTAAAAATTGATGAGTTTATAATTTATTAAATTTTATAATTGTTATAATTAATTAAAAACCGAAAATAGTTTTTTTTTTTTTTTTTTATAATTTATATAAAATAATATATATAATTCATATATTTAGAAATAAATGAGGAACATATTTATTAAGTGAATGGAGAACCATAAAATTATATAATTTAGGAAATATCAAGAAAATATATTTTACAAAATTATATTTGAATATATATTAAAACAATATTAAAATCAGTTATTATTTTAAAATAAATCACAATAAAAAAAAAAAAAAAAAAAAAAAAAAAAAATNAAATAAAGTATATATTTTTAACAAATATAAATTTTATAAGTTTAAAATATTATACAAAAAAAAAAAAAAAAAAAAAAAAAAAAAAGTTTATCATTGCTCTAAAAAAATCAAAAAAAAAAAAAAGGAAAAAAAGTTTTGTAAATTGACAAGGAAAAATTAAATAGCAAAATTTATTAAAAAAAAAAAAAAATAATAATAATAAATAAAAATAATAATAGAAACATAATATCATATTATTTTTATTTTTTTTTTTTTTTTTTTTTTTTTTGTATAATATTTTAAACTTATAAAATTTATATTTGTTAAAAATATATACTTTATTTTAGGTTTTATTTCATAATTTTCACTTCCATATAACAAAAAATTTTTCTTTTTATTGGTAGTTATTTGTATAAATCAAATGCTAATATATGTAATAACTTCACATTTCAAGTTTGAAAAATTTTTAATTTTTAAAAAGAATAATCAGATGAATATGTGTAACTTGAATTTGATGTAAATCCATATATCTGATTATATATTGGTACTTTCGCTAATTTATCTAATCTATTTTTAATTAAATTATTGTAATTGATTTTATTATCATAAAAATCATTATTTACACATCTAAAATGATTAAATTTATAAAAATTTGGTTCTGATAGTGATCTACGCAAATATTTATAATTCTCATTGGTTTCCGTTAGAGGAACAATTAAATTTTTACCTTTCATTTCTTTTACAAAATATTTTTTTTTAATAGAATCTTTCCTTTCATGATGAGTAATATCATTAAAATAAAAGTTGCTTTTATATTCAGAATTGAACACATTAAATTCATCAGAAAAGTTATGATATAAATTATTTTTCAATTTTTCATTTAAATGTATTAGATCTAACTTATTGTCAATATTATTAGTGAATATCTTTTTTTTATTTATTTTTATATTGCTTTTGAGATTTGAAAATATATTCAATTTTCTTAAAAGTAACTTCCTTATTTTATTTTTTTTGTTTTTTTTTTTCTTCCCTTTCTTAATACTTAATAATATATCAGTACAAGAACTACACCTTTTGTATATATTATTAGCCTTTTTTGGTTTTTGTTTTTTGTCATATCTTTCTATACTTTTAGAAACTAATAATGAATCTGAATTATAATTTAAATATTTTAAAAAATATCGGTTATTTTTAAAAGACCATTCATATTGCATATTGTTAAAATTTTTATTTAATATGTTTTTTTTTAATTTCATTTTTTTAATTTTGTTTTGTATTTCTATAATATCTTTATTACTATCTGAAAAATTACTCATACATAAATTCTTTAAGTTAATGTTTCTTTTATTTTTTATAAATAAATAATTTTCTTCCTTCTTTTTTTTCTCAATTTCCATTTTAATAATTTGATTTATTAAAACCTTTAGGTTAATATTTTTATTTAAAATGCTCATATACATAATTTTTTTTTTTATATCATTATTCTTGATAATATAATTTACGGTATTTTCTTTTTTTATATTATTCTTTAATAAATTATATACATATTTATAATCTTTATCCTTCTTATACTTAGTATTTTTAAAAGAGATAAAATAATTTCCCTTATCATTTTCTTTGATTTCTTCTACGTTTTTCTTGTATTCCACGTAATTTGTTTCAACTATACTTGGTGTATCTTTATCATCCACATAATACTTTTTATTTTCATTATTCTTACAATTCATAACATCAATCTTATTGTTTATATGATTAAATATACTTTTATTTTTATATTTATCATTTAGTGTATTAATGTAAATATTTTCATCATTATCTTTTTTATTATTCTTTTGACATATAACAGAATAGTCACCAATGTATTTTTTAATATCTATATTATTTTCTGAATTTGAATTAGTATCAGAATAGTTTTCTATTTTTTCATTATTTTTTTTATTAAGTTTTGAAACAATTTTTAAAGTTCTAATAATTGTTTCATTTATTATTTTGTCATCTGATTTGTACTTAAAATTTATGCTACTTTTTTTGTTATTGTTTTTTGATGATATAGTTGACGTAATTTTTTGTTTATCATAATCCTTTGCTAATGAGATATTACTTAAGTACTTTTTATTAGTATTAATATAATCAGCTTCTACTTCTATATTATATTTTGATCTTTTAATGTTATTTATATTTTTATTAAGATTATCATTTTTTATATCTTTCTCCTTTTCTTCATTTGTATCTACTACTTGATTATCGTATTCTAAATAAGAATTGATAATGCTACTTTGTATTATGGAATTAGATGATTTTATTAAATTTTTTTTTTTCTTTTCTTTACAGTAGTTATTCTTTTCTTTTTTGAATGATTTGACTTTCTTATGTTCCTTTTCTACAGCTTCTTTCTGTTCATTTTTATAGAGTTTTTTATTACTTTTATTTAATTGTTCTTCTATTATTAATTCTATTTTCCCCTTTCCATTATACTTGTTATTTATAGTATCCATACTTTTATCATCCTCTAAATTTCTAGTAGTAGATTCTTTTAAAATATCATGGGACAATTTATTTGTTTCATCATATATTTGTGTATCTATCATTTTATTTGTATCATTTTTATTTTGCATAGATGTAATATCATTATTCTCACAAGTTTCTATTTTTGTTTCATTTAAATTATTACTAAATATATTACCTATAGTCTTTTTATGATAATTATTTGAAATTGACTTAAAATTCATGTTATTATTTTCATTTCTATTTTTTGAATATATATTTACTTTTTCTCTAATTGGATAATCTGAATTACTAATAATTTGAATTTCTTTTCTCTTACTTTTGTTTTTTTGTGAATAATTATCTAAATCTTCTATAGTTATATAATCTGAATTACTTATATTTTGGATTTCATTATTATTTTTTTTTTTTTTTTTTTTTTTAGTATTTTTTAAAAATTCAAAATTTATATAAACAGTTTTTTTATTTTTTTTTTTATTTTCTTCAAAAATAACAGATTTTGATTTCTTAAAAATCTTATTTTCCCAAATTCCTTTTGTATTATAATTATCTGAATAAAAACATGTAGTAATTTCATATGGTAAGAAATATATATTATGAATGGAATTATTTAAAATTTGAATGGAATCAATTAAGTTTTTCAATCCGAAAATATATTCATCATCTGGTGAAGGATTATCTTGTAAATATATAGTATTTGCGAAATCAATCATTCTAATATCTAAAGAATTAGATCTAGCTTTTTTGTCGTTTAATCCTCCATCAAAAACCCACAATAAGGAGGATGACCAAAATCTATAATGTCTTAATTCCACTATGCAGTTAAAAAAACTGTGCAATTTTTCTAACAGTAGAGGTATTAATTCTTCATATAGCAAACATCCATTCCAAAACCAATTTCTGATAGCCCATGGTATTTTTTCTTTACTTAATTTTCTTCCCCAATATTTATCTTTATAAAATAAAGTATCACTCAATTTATTATAATTCTGGCATCCACATAAACGAAAACCTAAAGAATGACTAGTTGTCTTAAAACTTTTTTCTACTTGCCTTTTTTTTTTTTCTAATGAGGCACCTATTTTTCTTTGCCTTTTGCCCATTTTTATATCTAATACACATGGCCTTTTAAATCCATATACTAAATCTTCTAAAACAATATGTGGAACACATTCCTTCCTTTTTCTAACTTTCTTATATATATTATCATTTTTCTTTATGTTATCAGTATTAAGAATATTTTCATTTTTTTCATCAAATTCATTATTTTTTTCTATAATTTTATCATTTATATCACTATTTTTACCACTTTCATTTTTTTTATTTTGATCCTCATTTTTACTTTTCTCTATCCAATCATTATTTACACCTTCTTTATTCTCTAAATTTTCACTTTTATCTTCGTTCATTTCTTTCAATTCTTTTCCATCTTCCTTTATATTTAACTTTATATATTTCTTATATTTATTTTTTTTTTCTTTATTATTTTTTATATTATTAGAATATTGGCATAAATTCTTATCTTCCAAATCAGAATAAGATTCTATAACTATTTCTGTAACTCCATAAAATTTAGGAATAAATTTTTTTAAAATATGTAATGGACCTGATTCAGCAGAAGAAGATCTAAAATTTGTTAATTTTTCATAAAAAATATATTCATTTTCTATTAATGGTTTATATACTTTTGAAGAATCTTTTGGTTTAATTAATTTACAATGTCCACCAACCTGATGCCTATATTCTTCAACATTCATTTTCAAAAAAAATTTATTAAAATACAACAAAATATATCAAAAAAGTTCCTTAGAATTATATATATTATAGATCATATATATAAATATATATACATATACATATATATAAATATATATATATATATATATATATATATATTTATATATATATGTAAAAAAATATATATTTAAACATACACTTCTATTCTTGTTATATTAACAAAATCTTTCACATCGTTAATAATTTTTTAGCTTATTTTTTTTAAAAAAAAATATAATATAAAATAATAAAAAAAAGCTAATTACACATTCTAATTAATTAAAATAAGATAATTTAATTACTTTTTTTTTTTTTTTTTTTTTTTTGTTATTTTTAAAAATTAACACACCTATATATAATAATTTTTTTTCTCTATGAATAAGTTATTTTTTGTTTTACTAAATTAATATACATACCTAAAGTTCAATAGATATATATATTTATATGTATATATAATAAATTATACAAAAACATACATATAGTAATTTGAATTCGTATAAAACTCAAATCACATTTTTTATTTATTTTTAAATTCATAAATAAAATATATATATATATACAAGAAAAAGGACTAAGAAAGACATAAAAACAATCTATTTTATATATATTCTTTTAATTTTTTTTTTTCCTCTAACAATATATATAAAATGAAAAAACAAAAAACAAAAAATGAGAAACTGAAAACAAAAACCAAAAACCAAAGGAGAGAAAAAAAAAAAGAATTTTTCACAAGTTCTAAATTTTTTTTATATTGTGTAAAATAAAAGATTTAAAAAAGAAAAAAAAAATTTTTTCTTTTTTTTTGTTCTTATAATTTGTAATTTAATTTTTTTTATATCTTTAAAGCTATATTTGTTTTGTTTTGTTTTGTTTTTTTTTTTTTTTTTTTTTTTTTTTTTTAATTATCATATCAAGTAAATTATAAACTAATATGTTTATCTGTTATTAATTTATTTTCATATTATTTTTAGAAAAAATTATATAAAAAGCTTACTCAAAATTGCAAGAAGCATAAATCTTAATATGACAATTACAAAAAATAAATATATAATAAAAAAAAAAAAGTACAAAATACTATAAAATCAAAAAAATTATATAATAATAAAAAAAAAAAAAAAAACATATCTTATTTTTATTATTTACACATTCAGTTTACGTATATATATTATATTATATTATATATATATATATATATGTATAATATTTTTATAATACCTCTTATTATGTGAGTCTATAAAATTTAGAAAAAAAAAAAAATTGTTATTAAAAACAAAATTTTTATATTTTTTACTTAACTGTGCATAATAAAAAATAATAAATATAAATATAAAATAATTTGCATATATTCTATTTTTAAAATGCATACTACTATAATAGAATAAAAATAATGAAACAAAAAAATTCTAACTATATCATTTTTCCAAATTATATCTTTTACTTTTTTTTTAATTACTATAAAATTTTAAAAAAAATAAAAAAAAAAAAAATATATTATAAAAAAGAAAATAAAAAAAGAATATTTCTATTTTTTTTTTTTTTTTTTTTTTTTTTTTTTTTAAAAAAA